AAACCATTCATATAAGTTAATGTGTACCATTTTCCACAGATCTCATCTCAATCTACAGTACCCTCTACGAGGGCACACACATCAGGGATTATGGTGTTGTTCCTGAATTGTGTGCACATGTGTCTAGGTATTTGGTTAACTTCATTTCATGTAAGGCAGACACCACGTTAACATGTTCTCCATAGATTATGTAAGGGTATGTTGAGCAAAACGAAGCTGGCAGGCACTGAGCCAAGAAGCTTAACAGCGAAGGCCTTTCAGACTTTTCATCTTTTCAACTGAGCTTACATACTGTGCGGTGTTCAGCATTTTTATTTTTCAAAATGTCTAAAAAATTCAGTACATGTAAAAAACAAGTCACACTGAAAAGAAATACATGTAGATTTCAGGGAGCCTAAACTTAAACAACAGAAATACGAGGCAGATTCAGAATCAACAAAAACAAAACATGAAGAGAAATTCACATTTGCACACACAAAAATAAAAACACTCTCCACTTTACATGCAGGCAGATGTTTATGTTGGCTACAACGCAGTTGGTTTATTTCTGGGTGAGTCCATAAGACCTGGGAAAGCAGGAACTCCAATCAATCTAAGAGATCACTTTGTATCAGGAGGCAAGAAACATCTATCTGGAGGAGTTAGAGCTGGAACGAGAGCGGTGACGCCTGCGACCAGGAGATCTGGAGCGAGAGCGACGGCGGTGCTGGGGACCGCCTCCTTGGGGAGCGGGACCTGCAAGGACAACAATAATTGCATTGGAAGGCAGGAAGAATGAGCAGACCGCATGGTCTGAACCAAAGAACATATGCATATATTCACATATATACAACAGTAGTGGGAAATCAAATGCACATGGACATATGTTACTGACTGAAACTCATTTAATGTACCATTCTCCTCATGCGCGGTGGACTGCGACGCCAATAGGTGGTGGCGGGGGCATTTACGAGGGGAGATGGTCTACGAGGTGGAGGACGGACCCGTTGAGTCAGCACGGCAGATGCAGTGATTTCCTGTCCGTCAATCTGACCTATCAATAACAAAGTCATCACAGAAAGTTATCCAACACGTATGCACAGAGTAATCCTGCAAAACAGAGGCAACAGAACACTCTGGCCTACCTCCGTCCATGTGTTTGAGGGCTTTCTGGGCCTCGTCAGAAGTCTCAAACTCAACATAAGCGTAGCCCTGGACAGATGAGGGTGGTTCCTGTCTACTGGCATTTCGACCATTTTGATTTTTCCATAAGTGGAAAAGATCTCCTGGATGTGGTCCTGTGCAAAAAAAAAGACACAAAGCGTCAGAACCATGTTATCAGAAAACTTTAATTATCTGAGGAGTTATGTTGTTATTGTTTATGTGCAAAATTATCGAATTAATACTACATAAAATTGACTGCCGACAACAATAAGGAAATTAAAAGCCTGTTTACTGGACCATAGTCATAATGAATTAACATAACATTATCTCAAAAATTCTTCCTTTATTATTTTTCACTTTCTACAATTCCAGTTTGACATTAGGAATGTGGATGTTCTCATCTACCCAACATGACGTTTTTGAGCTAGTGCTATAATCTCAAATCATGTTAAATCATATTCATGTGTTCTGCAGTAAAAAGGCTTAACTTCTCAGCTGACCTTGGTGACATTCCTGGTCAGCCGCCCTAAATGAACTTTAGTTGGTTTTGGACTTGGGCTTCTTTTCCTTCGCTCCTTATCATCTCCCCTCTTCTGTGTTTTGGACCTGCAAGATCACAAACAAAACACTGATTAACGTCATCATGATTCAGACAAGTGAAAATACAAGACACCAGAGTGTAAAAATATCATGTAGCTGCATTAGATGGTAGGAGGAGTTACGCTGAGCGGGAGCGGCGGCGGTTGTCATGGCGTCTACGGCTGGGGCTGGGGGAGCCTGACGAGCTTGAAGAGGAGGAGGAACGAGAGCTGAAGAACCCGAGCGGCTAGAACCAGATGAGCTGGATCCACTTGAGGAACCGGAGCTCGAACCAGAGCTGCTGCTTGAAGTGGAGCTAGATCTGGACCTGGTCAAAGCAAAGTGGGGGGGATACACGTTCGGTTAGAAAACACACGTATTTAAGACTGATTTGTCACTAACAAAAACAGATAATTACATAAGGAGGTAACTTAGAAAACAAACCTGCTGCTGCTACTGCCAGTGGAAGCGCTGCGGCGTCTTTTTACTTTCTCCCGTCTCTCCTTGTCTCCGTCCTTGGTACCAGTTTTTTCTTTGCCTCTGTCTTTTGTTTTTCTCCTCCTCCTTCGCTTTGTGGGGGATGGTGCCCTAAAGTCAAGAGGAAAGCAGCTGTTATCATAGAAGTTGTGAATGGTTTAGGGCTGCAAGTACAAATTATGTCAATTAATCTGTGGATAATATTTCTGACTAATCATTTGGTCTATAAAATGTCAGAAAACAGTGAAGAGTCCAAGCTAACCAGGCTAAGGGCCCCACCTCTCTTTGTAGGGCCATTTAAAGCGTGGAAATCAAATCTTCGTCTTCAAAGTGCTATTTTGTCCAACCAAAACTCCAAAACGGAAAGATATTTAAACTACTGGGATCCAAACAGGATTTGCTTCAGAAACAAAACTTTAGAGAAGCTGCAGTCAACTTTAAATGAGATGTTGGGCAACTAAAAAGATTAAAGTTACTCAATTATCAAACGTGTTGGCCACAAATTGCCTGTCAACTATTGAAATATTGTTTCTGACCCAATGTAACTGAACATGATCCAGCAATGTATTCGTTACTATAAATATCATAAACGACTTCAAAACCAAAAGGGAGTAAGTTATCGAGGAAACTATGGTGTTTAGAGTGTGAACTTCCAGCTGAGACTAAACACAAAGCGTAACGTTAACACATTCTGAACAAATCGGAGGTAAAACGCCGTAATACTGCAAGAATTACATGACTGACAACTTTTTGACTTTTAAAAAATGTCGGTGGCTTTAATGTTATTGTAGTGACTGCATATATAATTTAATATTACCGCCGTTATTGCTGAAACATCACCGACTAGTAAACTTCACTCCCAACAACTGTGATCTCGAACAGAAATCCGCCGCCATTGATTTCGATACTGACTCCTCAAAACAACGAGCGAGCTCCTCTTTATAACTCACTACTCTATTCATTTAGTTCACAAACGGCTATTAAATCTGACGCAAACGTCGGCATGTTACACAAATGTGTACTGGAATTTAAAACCAGCTCGGCTGCACTTCAGTAAAAGGGTAAACTTACATTTCTTTCAAACGCGGTGATTTCGTTCCAGCCACTTGCTGCCAGAGGAAACGTCGCTCGGTGATGACGACAAAGCGGAAGTTACGTCTACCTCAGCGCCACTTACAACTCATTTGTTTATTTATGTTGTCAATAAAAATGTGAGTGTGTGACTACATCGTAGCTATTCAAATACGAAATGTTTAATCATGGTACGTGATATGATTTAACCAAATAGGAAACACCAATCTCTTCCCTCTTGTCGAGGCGGTTTCGCAAAGGTGAGCACTTTAATATGTTAACCGTTACTGTGTTAGCTAGAGCCTTCGGTGTTAGCTAACTAGCTCTGCTATTAGTTACAGATGAAGTTAATACCAGGTTACTGCAGCGTATTCCTCCAACCACACGACAAATATGTTTCACCAATCCAATGTATAACTATTCAAGTTTTTTCATGTGAGGATTGGTAACGTATATATTTTAATTATTTTGCTTTACTGAGATAGGTTGTGTGATAAAGTAACATGTTGTAATAAGGAGAAACGTTTTTTGTTATAACTGGAAAGATCAATAATAACTCTTGTTATAACTGAGCTGTTTGTTTTTTTCGTTATGTGGCAGCAATACACTGCTGCATCACTGGTGTTTTCACATCACACAGAAGTCCGGGGGGGATTCACATTGTTTACATTTATTTCTCAGTATTAAACACACACCACGTCTTAGTTACAGTTTTTTGTTATTTTATTAATCCTCTAAAGATTAACAGCCAAACTCACAGAGTCCCTCTGGAGTGAGAGATCATGGGCCGGCTGGATGATGCCGCCAAGCACAAAGTAGTGGAGCTGCGGAAGGCTGGTCTGAGTTTCCGTAAGATCAAAGCTGTGCTGGAGCTGGAGAACATCAAGGTGTCTGCCCAGGCCATCTACCTGTTCCTGAGGGAGTTTCAAGGGAGGCCGCCAGGGAGGGTTAGACCTGTGGAGGCTGGAAGCAGCACATCATCAGCACAAGTGCAGCCTCGATCTGGCCCAATACAAGAGAACTGGAGTAACATTCATCTCCAAAACCTTATGCGGGAGGCATCTCACCATCCTGGCTTTACAGCACCTGCAAACTTTGCCAAACAGACTTCCACAAATCCGGATACTGGTGCAAAGCCTTCTGGATCTGGGGAGATCTGTGGAGGTACCAGGCTAGAACAGCAACATGAGGGAGATAAGGAAGAAAATGACATCCAGATTGTTAGTGTCACCTCCCTTGCACAGAACAGCCAACGAAGAAGTCCCCAGTCCTCTGTAACAAGGGCAGAGACAGGTGCTGTGTCTTCCACAATAACAGCTTCTGGAGCATACATGAGGAGGAGGGTCACACCGTCTCCAGCCACTAATTCAATGCTGGCAGCTCGAAAGAGACTTTTGGATAAAGCGCTGTCACACAGGATGAAGGCACGTACTTATACATAATTTCTCCCATGTGTCACAATCTCAATTGTTATGCCTGTTGTTATTATTGTGGACAATAGTACAAAAACTGCAATTGTCAAATACCACAAGAATCAAATCATTTTGTATACTTAATTTGCATACATTGCTTTTCAACAGTCATTCCACCAGGTGGCATCATTGTTGAGGAGAGATCACTTGAGTGTCCAAGGTGCTGATTTGAGAAATGCAATGCCACAACCACCTGAAACGTATGATCTGACCACTGAAAAGGTGAGAAAAGAGCAAACATTAAATGCTATAAGTTATCTCTTTTATTTTGGTGAATAATCTTAAAGTGTGTGCCAGCCCATACTGTCACTTCTTGTGACCGGGTCACAGTACCTGTATAATCAATGTTTTGCACCAATAGCTGGTAC